ACAAGGTAAGAAAAGGTAGACGTGGAAAACAACCAGATGAACATTCACAATGGTGAAAGTATGTCACTGAAATAAAGTTACTATAGTTGGCCCTTGAATAACATAGGTTTGAACTTCATGAGTCCACTTATTCATGGATTTTTTTTTTTGACAGAATACTGTAAATATGTTTCCTCTTCCTTATGATTTTTAAAAAACATTTTCTCTAGCTTTATTGTAAGTTTACAGTAATAAGTATAACATACAAAATACATGTTAACTGTTTATGTTACCAGTAAAGTTTCCAGGGAACAATAGGCTATTAATAGTTAAGTTTTGGGAGGGTCAAGAGTTCTACTTGGCTTTTTGACTGTGCAGGGGTCGGTGCCCCTAACCTCTGTGTTGTTGAAGGGTTAACTGTACTGAATGGATTGAAGAGTAAACTGCTTAAAGCAGGAATTAGTGAATTTAAATCACAGAGAGAGAAAAAAGAACGGGAAATAAGTGGAAATCTGGAAGGTAAAATGAAAAGGTCTAATGGTAGAAAATATAAAAAATAGAGTGCAAGCAATATTCAGAAAGCTCACAGTTGAGAATTTTCCAAAATCAAAGAAATATCTTCTCATTTGAAAGAGTAAAACAAATTTCCAACCATGATAGAGAAAAAGGAATCCTCACTGTTCTTAGTGTAACTTCATAGCATCCTAACAAAACAACAGTAAAAACTTAAAAGCTACCGAGAAGACTGTTACTTGCAAAGAAATGATACAAGACAGACTTCTCAAAAAGAGAAGCCAGAATAAATGAAATATATCTCTAAACTGCTGAGGGGAAATAATGATCAATCTAGAAATCTATACCCAATAAAGCTATCATGCAAGATTAAAAGCAAAAATAAAGATTTTTGTGGTCCAAAGACTGGGTGACTGTATACCTTATGGACCACTGTTTACTAACAACGGACTTCAACAGAAAAAAATCAAACTCAGAAGGAATGGATTTCAAAGAGCACAGAAGTTAGTATTTTGGTTTATTTATATAACTGTAGACTATAAATGATAAAAATGACTAATAGAGGCTTAAAAATAAGACAGAATTCAACTACCAGGCAGTAACATGTTAGATGAAAGAAGGCATTCTAAGATCACTTTATTTTCTGGAGGAGGACACAAATACAGATTAACCTACATATTAAAAACTTAAGCATAACTACTAAAATGATAGAAATAAACTATCACTTCTAAACCATTGAGGGAGGGAAAAGGTGTTAAAGCAATCAACCTGACAGCAAGGATGAAGAAAAACATAATAAACAGAAAATACATAGGAAGTTTTATATATATTAATACATATATATTAGCGATGGCAGAGATAAGCTCTGATGTATCAGTTTTTACAATAAGCAAATTTAGCTTGCATTGTAATAACTGAGATTAGATTTTATTTTAATTAGCCACATGCCACTAGTGAAATACACTTTAAAATTCAAAGTTGCGAAGTCCTACTCTGCTTTGTAGATGCTATCATTGAAAAGTATCAGGGTGAGGAGGTGGCATTGAAAATGACTATGATTTCTTGCCTAAGAGATTCGGAATCACGTTAGCTAAGGATGACAGATGGGGAAGTCCCACCTTGAAAGTGAAAAGAAGTTAACATTTATTGACTGCTTCTTAAGTCTTAACTGGGGTCTACCGAGGAACTTAAGGAGCATCAGAGAGACGGATTTGTGCTGTGTGTCATAGAAGCCCAGACACAGGAGTACTTGGAGCGTGTAGTAGGTGTGGAAGGCCACCCCCTGCCCTCCCCAAAAAAAGAGACTTTAGGAAGACAGGCGATATCACAGGTAAAGAAGATGGTCAGCGGTGTCTGTGCTGGAGAAAGGTTGAGCTGAATGAGTACTGGGAAGAAGCTTTAGGTCCAGTTTAGTATGGTAGTGGGCCTACTGGTAAGAGATTAAGGAGGAAAAAAGAGAAGACATTGAAGAAGCAGAAATGGATTTCTCTCTCAAGAAGGTCAGCACCTAAAGGAAGACGGAATGGATGGTAAAGAGAAATTCAGGCTCAAGGGAAGTTATCTTGGAATAGGCAATCGCCATTTTTAAGAATAAAACCTTAATTATCTAGAGTCCTTGGGGAAATGAGTTTCCTGGGTAACCAGCTTTTCTGGGTGACCTGATGCTGCTTTTTAAGATGCCATTGCTAATTTTGATCATTTTTTAAATACCCAGAGTCACCAGCAATAGCAATATCAGGGTGGTCTCTGGCCTTTAAGGGTGATACTCCTTTGTGACTTCATTTAACCTTGTTTTGAGCTCTCTCCATCGTTGCCCCATGGCAGCAGGAGCTGCCAAGGCCTCCAGGAGGATTTCCCTCTACCACAGAGTGCCATCAAGAGTTCTTTTATCTATTATTTGAGATCTTTGAGCATCTTTCTTTTCCTATCAGCCACCTTTTATCATAACTTGCCATAATTTTCTATGTCTGGCATGCTCTTGAGCTAGTGTGTTCAGTTCTGACCGATGCCATCTACTCTGTATTGACTCAACCAGGCTTCTTGAAAGACTAAGGTTTGGTCTCTGGTCAACCAGCAGGATAGTAAACATCACTCTGATCTTTTTGGTAGCCTTTCTCCACGTGGTCGTGTCTCAGATACACAATTTAATATACAACCAAGAGTAACCTGGGGTGAGCATCTGAGAGGTTCTTCTGAATATAGCATAAGCTCTGGTATGTGGATTGGGGGTATTTATTTGGCTCTTTAGCCAAAGGCCTCTCTGGACTCCTTTGAACTTTCAGAGAGGGCTGACTGGCCACATCTTCCCTCAAGAGCAACCTAAGAGATTTCTGTCTTGGGGCGCCTAGGTGGTTCAGTCAGTTAAGTGTCTGACTTCGCCTCAGGTCATGATCTCAGGGTTCATGAGTTCAAGCCCTGCATCAGGCTCCATGCTGACCGTGTGGAGCCTGCTTGGGATTCTTTCTCTCTCACCGCCCCCCACCCCTGTCTTTGCCCCTCCCCCACTTATGCTCGCTCGCTCTAAATAAACTACAAAATATTTTTTTTAAAAAAGGGGATTCCTGCCTCAAAGCTGATATTTTTCTCAATACAGATAGAAAAAGGTATCTATCTTATCACCTATCACCACCTATCACCTATCACCCATCCTCCAGGAGGAAAGGTATTTTGTATTAACTAAAACAGCCTCTCCTCTGTCAGCTGTATGGTATGCTAGACCTCTCTCCACTACCTGGGCTGCAAACACACTTGAGTCTCAAAGACTTTATGACCGGGGCGCCTGGGTGGCTCAGTCGGTTGGGCGTCCGACTTCTGCTCAGGTCATGATCTCGCAGTCCATGAGTTTAAGCCCCGTGTCGGGCTCTGTGCTGACAGCTCAGAGCCTGGAGCCTATTTGGAATTCTGTGTCTCCCTCTCTCTCTGACCCTCCCCGTTCATGCTCTGTCTCTCTCTGTCTCAAAAATAAATAAACGTTAAAAAAATTTAAAAAAAAAAAGACTTTATGACCTAGAATCTTAATCCTGAGATAATTCGCTACAGACCTTAGTCTTAAAAATTGTAATGATGGGTGAGATGGCGGTCTCTTTTAATATGAGACTCAGTAAATCCATAAGGGGTCTTAACAGAAGAAACAAAAGAGCCTTCTGGTGTTCTGAATTCCGTAAAATCACAGTCCTGAGGGCAAGGCAGAGACATTCCAAAGTAGGGAAAAGCCACTAGTAATACCAGGGTGGTCTGTTGTTAAAGGTCCACAGGCTGGTTTCCAAGAAGTCGTCCTTATAGGGTGACATTTATTATCTTGGTGATTTATCAGAGTCTGGCTTTTAGCTTTTCAGGTTCAGAACCTGGTTTAATCAACACACAAAGAACAGATTCATTGTCAGAGCTGGGCTCACCCTAACCACGCTCACAAGATTGATCTGGAAACCGAAATTCCAGTTGACATTTATATGGAGAAATATAACTGACTGATCTTCTCAAAGTACAATGACTAGCTCATTCTTTTTCTGTAGGCAGGCCTACACAAGGAGCCAGATCATAATCGGGCTATTTGGTGAACGTGAAATCAGAGTTAACGGTGAATCATGTTTACTGGCACAGGCTAAGAGAATAATTCATCCACACTAAATATGGTCCTACCAGCGGAACTGAATCTCTTTGAAGTCTGTCAGCTAAGACTCCCTCTGCTCTGATCACTATTTAGATAGACACCTGCCAATGTTATGCCTTGTTTTTTTAATGCCTCAAGGCCAACCCAGGCCCACACCCACCGAAATCCCCTCCCACATTGGTCTTTAGATGTTAATACTTTCCATTGACTAATAGCATAGTCATTCTTTTTCTGTAAGTTTAAATCTCCCTGAACAGTCTTATTTTCAAATTCTAGGGGGATCCCTTGCCACACCTACACTGATCCACACCAAGGTTTATCAGTCATTTCCCAAAAACACCTTCACATTTTTATTATATTCCTATGCCACGTGTACTACTCATGTTTTTATTTAACTCACTTTTTAAAAACCATTTCATTTGAAAAGATTGACCCCTACCAAAAATAGAAAAGGACTATCCTTTGTCCTATAAAGAATGTGGTGCAAAAAATAAACACTGAAAACAAAGCTCATATGTTTCCCATGTAATTTTTTCAACTAGCCATAGTTTGCCATGCAAAGCTGTGAGCCTGAGCAGATCCATGTTAAAAGATCAACTCACACCAAACTGAGACTCTCTCCTTCACATAATCAAACACCTCAAAGGAGGATTCCACAGCAGAACCAATTTAGGGGATTATTTAATGTATGTGGTGCCTTGTCCATCTACCACCTAAAAGAATAACCTCACGTTAGGCATCACAATTTCGGGAAAAGATGGCCTAGACTTTTTGAGACTTTAGGGATATTTCAAAACTGTTTACACAGCTGTAGTGATGCCTCCTTCCCAGCCTCACTTGACTCCAGACTCTGTCTGATGCCACACTGATTGTCTCATTCCTGCTTCTCCCTGCACAGGTACACACTGGCAGCTCAGGACCTGGTGATGCGTGCCCGCGGTGTCCTGAAGGACAGAGGATGGCGGATATCTAATGACCGGCTGGGCTCGGGAGACGACATTTCTGTATATGTCATTCCTTTAATACATGGGAACAAACTTTCATGAAAACGGCCCAGAGGGTTGGGAGGACAACAGGGGAGAAAACTGGGACATGTCTTGGCAGGGCAGAACTGGGAAGTGCCCCAGCAGAGTTCCAGGTGATGCAACCTCTTCCCAGGCCAGGTGGGGGATTTGCTGCCGAAAGGCTACTGGCTGTACTTCTGGGGGACCCTTAGATTTCAGTTTCCTCTTTAGTAACAGGTCTGGATACTCAACAAGAGCAAAACATAAAGGCTGCTACTGAGTACTGTGTTTCTTTTGGTTCCTTTAATAGGCCTCCTAGGTAGCCACTACCTAATTTTGGGCACACACATCATATTTATTTGGAGTAGATGGGGCAGCCATTTTCAGGTGTAACTGGCAGGAGATTCTTCGGCCTATCAAGCTGCCAGCTTCTCTACGGGTTAAAAGTGCTGCATTGGAAAGTTGGGGACCATGTCTCAGAAAGTGTAAGCACCCATCTTCTAGTAAGCCTGAGATTTATTTCAGGGAATGCTATCTGTGTGTGTGTGTGTGTGTATGTGTGTGTGTGTGTGTGTGTGTGTGTGTGTTTGTGTGTGTGTGTGTGTCTTCATTCTTTCATGGTTATGGTGGGGAGAAGCAGGGATTTTTTTCTGTTTGATATTCCTTGAATGTTAATTGTTTCCCTTCCATAAAACAGGCCTGGGACTTTCCAGCTCCTTGCTGAGGAATTTGTATGTCAAAGTGCAGCCCAGGCTGTCCCCGTATCCTGTAGCCCACACCACCCAGGCAGCCTTCTGGATCAGTGCCCTGGCTGACAGAGCACTGTCTTTGTTGTGTAACAGTTTGTTCCCGGGTTGCGTTTTCTCACCAAATCAGTGTGTTCTTATGAAAATATGGGTGTTTCTTTAAACCAACAGTTTCTCTGTTGTTTTCAAGGGTCCCCCTTTTGTGGCTAGAGATTTCTCTGAGAATCTAGGTTTTCATTTCTGGTCTTATCGGCCCTCCCCACCTGCTGTGCCCTGGGGACGCATGTAAAGCAGTGTTTAAGAGAGCAGTACAGGAAGCTCCATGTATCATTCAGTTCACCATACCTCATTGTGATGACCATTCCTCCATTTTGGATCCAGGTTCTGTGGACTGTGACTGTTCGCAGGGCCACCCCACAACAGTAAGTATCTGCATCCCGTCAAGGAGTGGCAGTCCTGCTTCCCCCTCGTCTTTGGGCAAGACCCACTCAGAATAGCCTTTTGATAAAAGCAAATTTGAATTGAGTTGACTGGTCATCCTCATGCTGTGCACCCCATTCCTTCTCCTTGGAATCACATCCCAGCAACTGAGGACCCTAGTTCCCACAGATGCTCCACTTCTGAGTGTTCCTTACAAGAGCTGAAGAAGCAGTGGACAGCAGATCTACCTATTACTTCCCTGCTGGGAGGAATCACAAAGTAGTGTTCTAGAAATCACTTCTCTCTCAGGCAGATGACTGCCCTGCACTGAGGGGCCCTGTAGAGCAGCGTCCCATTACTGAGTCTTCTTCCCGCACACTTCCTGTGGTATCATCACCATCTTGACAGTTCTGCGTAATGAAAACATTCTTCCCACCCCACAAAGAAAAATGTCATTGACATGATTCCCTGAACTGCTGGAGAGCCACTTCGAGTTCGCATGTTTGTTGAATCCCTTCCCCAGAGGAGAGGACAGGAACCTTTCCTCCAGGATAGTTAATCACCTTCCTGGAGTTGTAGATATTTTATTAGGAAAGGCCTAGAGCCTCTCTACTCAGGAATGAACTCATTCCACCATGTGGAAAGGATGCCCTGTCTGGCAGGTGAGGTACTATGGGAATTCACGCATCAGCTGTTCGCCAAAATGTTGCCCAGGGAGAATCGGATTACTACCTTGTCGGGGGGTCCTCTTCATCTGACAGCCTCCCTCCTCCTCCAGTAGATCTTAGCTACCCCAGATGTCTCTGTGGGGACAAGTTTGTGGTAAACCATCTGCTTCTCTGGCAGAATGTGATGCTATGAGACAACACGCAGGTACCCTACAGCAGTGTCACCCGCTTTCTGTTCCTGCCCCGACTCAAAGTCTTGTACAAATTGGAAACAAGAAGGGTTTTTTTGTGGGACTCTGAATGGCCGACTTTGGGAAGCTGCCCTCACAGGCAGTCACCTCTTTCTCATGTTCCCGTTATCTTTCATCTGTTTTCTCTCCTGGGCTTCTATGTTGGTCCGACCTTGAGCTTTTCTCGTTTTATTCGAGCCACCAGAGTCTAACTTTGGGGTAGATGTCATGACAGCCTTCTACTCAATTCACCAATTCATTTACTGCCAAGAAATGTCTCAGGAAAAATTCTAGAAACAACCCCCCCCCCAACCCGGACTTTTCAATTTATCCTAAAGTCTTGAGCATGTAGTCCTGCTGGTTTTAGTTAGAATGGTATCCAGGAATTCTTTTCATAAGCCTCTTTGGTGGAAAGATTTTAGTAAAAGCTGAAGCCCTATTTCTGTTTGGGGGATGGGAAGAAAATTACAAACGAGGTGAATAAATCATATGTGGAAAAAGTGATTTTTTCAATGCCCATAGCAGATCTGCCCAGCACTGATATTGCTCTGTGAATTGAGCTTACTCTGTTTGGCCTTATTTTTCACCCAGGCCCCATGCCATCCCATCCCACAGCAGTAACTAACTGTGTCTACATAACAGGGTCGGCCCTTGGAGCATTCCTGGAAAGGTCAAAAGGCAGCACGCTCAAAATTCTGAAGAACATATTTATAAGCGGTTCTGAAATCTTGTGTATCTGACTTATAGCCACATCTGCTTGTCCTAATAGTCTCAGAGGAAATCTTGTTTAATAAAAAGCTTTCGATTTCCTAGTCAGGCCTTTATGGTTGCCTTGGGGTGTGTGTGGCCACTTCCTCTAATGAAAGGCTCTTTGAGTTCTAAATCTCTTTGTTGGGCTGGACCCTGCTCTTTGGAATATTTGGGGACAGTCTTTTCCTGGAAGAGAACAAACTCACCCTCCATCCACACCCTGCAGCATTTTGCCAGGCAACAGCCAAACCTTTGTTCTCATGACACCTGCAGTCGGAGGTGGACTGTCTTCTGCGGTGGTTATGCTCACCTAACGGTGGTTCTCTGGTGGGAAGGGAGAGGTGAAAATCGGGCGAGGCTGAGTACTCGGCTGTGTACTAGGACAAAGCCACGGAAAGTGGCCATTTCAGTTACTTCCCACAGTAAACAGCTTTGGGGAATTTGGGATGTTTAATTTTTTAATTCTAGCAACCTCACCTCTTCAGGGCTGTGTGCTCACCTTTTTCTTACTCCTGAGTATCCATTTACTTCTGGGAACAACTACAGTTGTAGGTAGATATTGGTGGGTGGAGATGACCGTCCCGGTACCTGAATTTGGCCTCAGATCTTGGCCATTAGGATAGGATTTTCAGTTTACCCAGAGCACTAGCATGGAAACACTTGGAAAAAGACTCCCACATCTTGAAAATTCTGACTCTCCTCTTGACTGCACCTCCTTCCTCGTCTGCCATTTTTTTTTTTTTAACAAGGCCAAGAGTAGCCAGTGGTTTCTTTCCACCACAGTTTGAGGATCTAACCTTTCCTTAAGTGACCCCACAGCCCCACGCTCTCAGAGGGAATATGTTAAGCTTTTATGAGATTCTATTTTCAGTAAATTACTGCTTCGGGACACTTGGAGAGAGCAGTGAGAGTCATTGTCTATGCAAAGAACAACCAAGCTGACACTAAAATTTACCAGATGTAAGAAAAGAGTAAAACCGTATCTGGCCGCAGGACAGAATTTTACGTTAGAAACTTGGGTTTTTGAGGGCTTTACCATTGTAGAGAAACGCTGGGAGTCTGCATACCATAGCCCACCATGAACAGATGTCGGTTCTGTGGGTGATGTGGTGTCTGTGTGCACACTGCAATATTTCAAACGACACTACCTGAGCAGACTGACTTGCCTCTTGTGTGAGCACTGAGACAGCTCTTCGTGAGATTTGAGTGCCCGTCTGCAGACTACTGCTCTTTCTAATCCATGATGTTATATGTAAATAGCTTTAATTGTTCCTTAATTGCGTCTTAGATGAAGTTCTGTTCACGTAGCAACCAGGTAGACAGTGACCAAATGAGGCTGTAAAATGTGCTGTTGTTTTCTACTGTGATGTACTTGAAGGACAGCCCTGTGTCCCCCAATCTTTCAATCTTCCATCGTATTTTATGTTTGGGGAATCCTCAGGTTATTCTCCATTTCCGTTTTGCCTCCATTTTCTTTGCTTCTTCTGGAGACCCAGGGAGGCCCACAGTGGAGATCATTTGTAAGAAATGTATCACGGTCTGGGTTTCCAAAAATGTCGTATGTACAGTGAATGAGAGGAATCTGCCTGAAAATGGTTTCAGAACCAAGTACCTTTATGCTTTGTGATTGTGAAACCTTGACTTTTGTAACCCAAAAAATGAACACTGTTTAGTAAAGGGGATCTATTTTGTGTGTTTTGAAACTTAGGTGCAATGTTCCCTGGACAAAGCTAAAGAAATGTATATGCTCAATGACATTTTAAAATAAAGTATTATATATATGTATATAGGATACCTTTAGAAAAAGTTTTGTGTTACTTCTTTTAACTCGCTATGAAGTTTCTTCATATCAGGTGATGGAATGAGGAGTGTCATGGACTCGTGTGAAGTTTCGAACTATGAACAGACTCCAAAGAAAGTCAAAAGGGAATGGATGCCAACACCATAAACCTTCACAGGAATAGCAGTAAAGGCTATGTATTTCAACAATGCATCTAGAAGAAGCACCTTGGATATTATTCCCAAGAATTGCTCCCAAGAGGTATTCTTTTTTCTTCTTTTTTATTGAGGTATAATTGATATACAACATTACAGTAGCTTCCAGTGTACAACGTAATGATTTATTTATCATATTGCAAAATGATCATCACAAAAAATCTGGTTAACATCTATCACATTCATATTAACATAACTTTTTTGTTCTTGTGATAAGAACTTTTCACTCAGAA